ACTGCATTTTTCAGTCACTAACCTTGTCAAGAAACTTCTCTAAATGTAAACAGGGTAGGGATTATAAACTAACCACCTCCCTATATTTCTGTCTCGGTTTGATATTTCACATTTTTCTACGCTTCCTCACAGTCCGTTGCCCAATTAGGTTTTATGTTTTCTTTTGTTAACCTATGCAAAATCATCGAGTTCTTGTAATTAACCCCTCTTGATTCTTAAGTGAGTTACCAGAGACATCCTCTCAAGTCGCCTTAAAGGGAAATACGCCTCATCTTCCCTGCGGGTAGGAAATGTACGAGAAGAGTGATGTTGTGTTTGATGTCCCAGATAGCTTCAAAGACACCGAGTTGGAGGCGAGAACTCCCTCGATGGACCACCAGTTTGAAGAACATCAATTCCAATACCCTTATGAAGACGACTGTTGTGAGAGATTGTATTGCAAAGATTTTCTTCTTTGCATTATCGGAATGGAAATGCAGCAAAACTCTTACGTAAGAAAAATCGACTGTTCTTACACGGGAGCTCATTGCAAACCAGTGACGTACAACCAATGTGTCCGAGAATATTCAGTTCCAAGGGTTTTTGTCCCAGTAATAAAATCAACTCATTAGGCGCATTTTGTTGCTTAGCTAACAAGGGATTATGCATAACAGCAATGAAATAACAGTAAAATTAATTTTTAGCATCATCATCGTTTCTGTCTAATAGAGAGCACTTGAACCAATCGGTGCAGTGGCTGTCATGATTCTTTCAATAAAAAATAAAGGTAATATTCTTATGAAGAAATAATGAAGGCTCATGAAATCAATGACCAAGTTAACACATTGCAGCCCGGGTGTATTTTCAAGTATGCACACCGCATCTCCCACATGCGACATTAGCGCCTCGTCGTGTACATTTGTGTCAGGCTCTCCTTCAACATTTTGGGACTATACATCTTTCATTAGCTGTATGAATTGATGAAACATGGCCTGAACATGGCTGGATAAGTTTGAACTGAACCCAATTCCTTGCAGTTGAAGCTGGCCTCCACCTTCAGCTGCAAAGAATTGAAATCGGCTTAAACTTACCCAACCAGTAACAACGATCTCATTCATTAAAAACAGCATAACAACCATCACTAGGTGCAACAAAGCCTTGACCAATTAAAAAAAACAGTGCAAAACCGAGCAAGAAACAAGGAGAAGAAGACGAGGGTAAATCAGAAAAGGAAAAAAGGGACAACTGTAGAGGTGATGGGGTAGATTCGCGATACACGTGATTCTTGCAACGAAGTTGCTGTGCAGCGAACGTCATATAAGTGAGATGTGGTGTCCGGCGCATGTTTCGAATGAATGAAATGGATAGAGTCTAACGCTGTTAGACTCTATCCTCTCGGCTCCCATCCGGAACAATTTTGCGGGAAACGAATGCGGTGTATAAGGGTCTTGGCAAGAAAGTGGGGCTTTTGAAAGCTAGTTTATGTAGCCTTCACGAATCAGGTATCGCATTGTCGAGTCTTGAGCAGAAGCTGCGGATCGTAAGTATTCACTTACAGACTCGTGAACACGTACAAAGCTATCCGAACTCCTCACTGCAGGTGGCCAGGTTTGACAACCATTCAAGAGTGATGTGGATGTGACCTTAAAGCGAGCGACGAGTAATGGTGACGTAAGGTTACAAAGGGTCTAATTTTTTTAGTTGCTTAGAGCGTTCTGCATCCCATACCGAACGCTGGCGCGAGTACGGCTCGCTCGGTTGAAGGTGTAAGGTTTTATAACAAGCACGATGGTGAGGTGTGAGGGGGGGGGGGTTGAAAAATATAAGCGTTGACTAGGCACGTGAGCGAAGCTGTAGGTAAGAGTGAGAAGGGGGGGGGGGATTCTGGAGAAAGGCAGCGAAAGCGAAACAAGATAAAAGAGGTAACCTGAAAAGCACGTCTCGATTCGTTGGAAGTCGAAAGTAGGAATGAAAAACCTCGGTCTGTGACCCCTAGACGAACCTTTTGCATTGGTTCAAATTTGCCGAAACTCTTCAATTAGGGAAAGATCTCAGGTCGAACTATCGTTACAATGAGGGGCCCAACACGACATGTGTTATTTTTTGACGCTCTTCTCGAATCAGTTCTCTTTTCGGCCAGTCGTTTTAGTGAGCTTAGTTGTGAAGCAAAACCGGTTACTCAGTGGTCAGCGCTTATAGCGAAAAAATTGAAACGAAATGGTTGAAATCCACTTTCAGACGTCTTTATCAATGCTTCCCTATAGATATTCTCATGAGCATCTATAGGCAAACATTGATAAGACGTGCAGGTCGAACAGCTCTGGGCTCTGTTAGCTCATGATGCTAAAAGATGTAGCGTCCCACCGGGTGTGGGTACTTAGGACAGAACACGACTTTTTCGCTCTTCGCAACGCGACATCGTGCGGCAGGCTGGCGCTCCCGCAGCGAAAAAACTACGGTATGGAAGAACGCGCGATTGGAGCACGATATTTGTGTCGGCTCTGATTGCGACAAGGAGTTTGAAGCTTAATAGCCATGGATTTGATAATGACCGAGGAAATGGTAACCAGAAGTGGACCGCTAACCAGCAGTGAAGAGGGAGGTAGGTTATTTTTGCAGAAATGGATGGTAGAGCTTCTGGAGAACCTGGAGGAAATGGTTGATGGACGTTTGATGAGAGTTAAGATGTTATACCCTTATGCAGAAGTCTATACAACAATATGAACCCACAAAATGCAAGCACAAGCGACACTATTAAACCATCTTCACCGATAGTTCGTAAACACCATTTCAGTGGCATCGCCCGGAATCGTTTAAGTCACAAAACGTTTTCAATAATGAGACAGAATTAGTGATTCACCGCATTTATCAATACAATGGGTGTGAGCGCGGGCAAGTAAGGAATCAGAAACTTAAAAATTCACGCATGCAAAAAAGCTGCTCCAACGCGCGCTCTTCCATACCGTAGTTTTTTCGCTGCGGGAGCGCTAGCCTGCCGCGCGATGTCGCGTTGCGATGAGCGAAAAAGTCGCGTTCTGTCCTAAGTACCCTCACACCAGGGTCTTGGCTAAAATGTAGTAATTTGGAGAGAAAGTCAGATCCACTTGGGGACAAGTGCTGGTCAATGGGTGAGAAAAATCATTGTCTGCATTATTTGCTAGCATCTAAGAATTCATATGAGTCATTCCGAATCGGAACCTTTGTCTTCGTCGTGATAGGCCAGCTTTAGTGTGGCTGGCTGGGAGGAATCACAGCACTGGTTTGCCCAAGTTTTCCAGGTTTCTTTGAAATCACAGATTTCGATGGAACTTGGTAGCAATAACAATTCACAAAAACAAGCGAAAATCACTGCAGCGAATCCGAACTCCCGACGTATTTTCTGAAAGTACACCTCCGTAACCCCAAACCCTTGATGTGCGCGCATTACTTACCCGGCTCATTCTTTTTGAATGCTGCGATTTCCGCCGCAGGGGCTCGGTCTCTCGTATGTTTATAGGCGAGGGGTATTTTTTTTATAAATCCTCATAGAACCTTTGGCGAATTGGGGAAGCACATCCGAGATCAGTGTTCAAAAGCAGATCCAGTAACTTATGTCTCAATAAGGTTACTTCGACACGGAACCGTTTTCTAATAAGATGGAGCCTGCCGTTTGGGGAGTGATGAAGAATTAGAGACAAAAGAAAGAAGGGAAAAGGGAGTTTGAAAAAAATGAGATCAAAATGACACTAGTATGGTGCGGATGAAATGAAATCAGCAGAAATGCAACAGTAGGGTGATTGCAGAAATGCAGCCAACTATCTACTGCCACTATTTTTTTATGTTTTGATTATTATTTTTAATCAATTTGTTTAATTTTCTTATGCTTCAATCGTATATTTATGTTAGCGTGACGTACAACATTTCGTTGGTCTGCCTGTTCTTAACCTGGATAACCTTTGGGACCCAGATAGTATTTACTGGCGCCAGTATCCATGGTTTCTATATCGGAATGTCCACTTAATTCGCGTACTGGACCTCGGTGGGATGACCCTTTGTAGGTTTCACATTTTTGAGTTACCGTAACTTCAACGAGAAAGTATGCTTTTCGTCCTTAACAGCCACTGCGCTTCGAGCTGTGGTTTAGTGCTTTCTTTTTGGTGCGATACTACATGCCATTTTTTGGGATCGTGCAAGAACGGTGTTACATGCACCATTCTTGGGTTTTCTACTCTGATGTGTACAAAACACTGCCTACTATATTACATTACATGGGTGACATTAAAGCTTTTCAAGCTCGAACTAGAGTAGTAGGTAAGAAAAATCGTGAAAAAAAGGAAAAGGGTAAAGAAAAAAGTGGAGCAGTAGCATACAAAGAATCAAAAAAAATAATATGGATCATGTTCTGAGAAGGACACAAGCCATACTCGCGTAGCGAATTCACTTCTGATCCTCAACCATAAGACAAGCTCAAAAATGAGACTAGCTGTAAACTGACCAGTTGTTTTCCGCCTTGCGAAAGCAATCGCTGGCATAAGTCTAGAATCTCAGAAGTCTTCTGCACGCACCGCTTGTCTTTGTTTAGTCCCTACATTTCTATCCGGCAAAATAACATTCAGTTCCAGGTTCAGTGACTATCAGGTGATGAAGTAGGCAAATATAAGAATCTCGAACTCCGATCGGCGGCGCAGCACAGTCTGACGTCTGGCGGAAGTGTCTTTGTAGACGGTGCATTGTCAGATCTTCCCCTACTAGTTCGCGACGATTCATGTACACTTCTCGCATTGATCCATCGGCGATCTTGTAATCAGTAGAATCATCGAAGCTTTCGCTTGATGACGAGGCTAAATTCTTTCGCCGATGTTCAGTCCAATGGTCGATCCAAAATGCTAACAAATTATCAAATGAAATAGTAATGTGAGAAATAATATCGTGTGGTTCACGACGTAGCCTTTTGGAGAGTGTAGTTTGAAAGCTCGTTCCTGTTGAAGGTTGACCTCAAGTATAAATTTAGTGATGAAAACGAAGGGGATTCTCGAAGTGTGATGGCTCGTTTGAAGGAATCGAAATGGAGAACTAAAAGGACGCCGGAAGCGAAGGAAATCTTTCGCACTAAGTAAGTCGAACACAACAATTGAGGGCAGTCATCAGGACACTCATATGAACGTGCTTGTTTTTTTTTTGGAGTCGCGATCAAGAATGTGAAGTGGTCCTCCAACTGTATGAAGGTTTCCCAGTTAGTATGATGGTTCACAGCCATCCTGGAGTGTTCATTGCTCTTGTGATCGTAGCAAAGCTACCAAAACTCGGGTTTTCGGTAGAAATTCATGGTCGAAAGCATTTCGCATTATTCCCCAATGTGAAGAAAAAAACGGCACGTGCTGCAGAATACTAAGAGTAAGAGTTTCGAAAAGTGCTACTCATGCCTATGTCATTAAGTTGGTGAAAAAGGTGTCACCTCTTGGAGGAAATTTTGGTTAACGGCATGAAATATTAATTTGTGGATAGACAATTGTTATGAAACTGTAGCTTTTCATCTTTTATGATTTCAGGAGTATGCACAATGAATGTCCTCACGTTTCTGGCACTTCGGTAGCAGAGGAACCGCATTTGCCACGTCTTCCTGAGTATGACGTTTTCTTGGGCGGATCGTGCGGAACTACGGTATGAAGCGATCTGATTTCAATGTGGGGTTGCTAAAGTTTTAATGACTGTTTTTTTCCCATTGGAGGTCTGGCGTCGCCAACTCGTTATTCCATTTCTTAAGAAGAAAGCAATTTCTTATTATGATCCTCAAAGGAGTGTCTGGAGTGAAAATATGATTTATGAAGAAAGTATAGCAAAGGAGGCAAGTTTTGTTTCACATATGCAAATGACAACTGACTAGGAATTCTTGAGTGACGAGGAAACATTTTCAGAGGTCGTCTCTATTCCTGTTTGTCATAGATCCTGCCACTGTCAATGCTACGTCTTTTCTTGAGATAGCCTATTTTGCTGCTAGGAAATCGCCGAAATTAGTTGTAGTATTCCTGGGCAAAACAGAGTGGAAGCAAAAAGCTCATCCATTCGATCTGCCGGACAGAAACAGGACCTGCTTACTTCTTGATAAAATATTGGATGCCCATGATGTTCCGATGCTTTACAGTATACAGGTTGGAATTTTATGATTTCGTAACGAGTCTGATTTTATTTACCAGTTTATTTCTTCATATTTTGAAGAAACCCTACGATGGGTAAGTGTATCAATCTCATAGTTGTTAGGGCAGCGCATCTATCGGAGGCCGCAGATATGCCGTTGCATCGGCACAAAATAACGAGGCAAGAGCATTGTCATTGGTCTGTCGGGTGCTTCCACTGCTTTTCCAGTGCAACGGTCTACGTAACGGCGAATCTGCGCCATCTCCATCTTGCCACCCTGGCCATTGTTTTCTCTCATGGGCTATCTTTCTTCGTCTCAACTGTTCCCACAAAATGAATGGAAATGCGCAAATTTGTTTTGGCGGATTCTTTTACTCGTTTTCCCCGACCGGCCCGTTTCGCATTTTTGTTTTTCTTTTCATGTGCAACGATCACACCAACATGATCGTGTGGTCTGCCTTTAAATTTTTTTGCTTCTTTTTCAACATACTGCTTTTCAACATATGAAAATTGAAGGACGCGTTGGACTACATCGAGGAAGAAATAATCGGAAGTAAACGATGGTCTGAGGTCCTATGTGTGCCTTGTCAACGTCTATCATATCTGTCTCTCCGAACAAAAAGAATGGTTCGAGCTGCTCACTATACAGCCCATGGAGCGTGGCTACGTATGCGATCATTTGCACGGCGAATGGTATTTGCTGGTGTCGCCGACATGGTCATTTTTGTTGCCTGCCAGATGATTGCACCAAATATTCCGATATATTTCGTACTTATTCCCCTTCTGTTGCTCAGTCTTGTTATTATATTTGCTACCGGAAGATGGCAACGTTATCGTTTACGGTGCCCGCGTGCTATAGCTGATTCATCTTACCAAAACCTACGACCTCCAGCAGCTATTCCTTTGCCACGTTTGGCGACTGTTATCACGCCACTCAACCTTGTGCATGCTAAGTGCAATTGTAAGTGGTTATACTTTTTGGGGAGCGATTCTCACGAGTTCAAGCATTTATGTTTTCAGTGGTGCGGTCGAAGCGGTTTTGTGATAATATCGTCGATGATGGCTCTTCTTCATTCATAGTGCCGGAATTGTTGAGGCGTCGGGCCCAGTATACAAAGGCAATGAACGTATCATCTCCTGCAACGATAGAGCTGGCGTCGAGTGCTCTTGACGAGACTTCATGGGTCAACAGAGTGGTCGTGCCACATTTGGAGTACGTTTTGTTAAATTTAAAGAAAGGTTTGAATGGTTGCACTTCAAAGGTCAGTGAATAAGGAAAATCCCAATCTCTCGGAAGTGACCACGCAAGCTTGTGAAATATATACAGATACCCCAATCTTCAAATCGAAATCGATCCTGCTTCTGTCGTGAACATCTCTCATGATTCTTGTCGAGAACATTTCTCTTGAATCGTTTCATCGCTGCTTCTTTTACTACGTAATTTTGAGCTTGAACCAAACAATACGTAATTATTATCGGAAACAGTTCTGCTGTAAGGGGGGAGTGTCTGAATTAAGAGCGTGCTCACTCGTCCCTTCTATACATACCGCACTTTTTCAAAGCCGCAGTTTTCAGTGTGGTTTAGATTGGCAGAAAACGCATCTATGGTCTGAATGTTCAATTTTGAGGAGAACCTGCCACTCTTAAGTGGGTATTTTCTGAACCATCACCAGTAGATTGGGTATGAAGTTTTAGTTGCTCTGGACCTGATTACATATTGTTTAGAGAAGACGGCGAATAGCTTGAATTCGGGTTGACGATAGGATTACATGGAGGGGCCTAACTTAATGGCTGCTCCAAATTTCCTGAGTAACTCTAAATCTCGATTTCATCTAAAATTTTGTTATATAAGTTATCTTATGCCTCGATCAGGATTGGCAGCATTCGCGCTGGAACTTTTTTTTTGATCAGTATTCTTTAGCATTCGTTAGAAGCAAAGGAAGACGTAGTAGACCTTATCACTAACATGTTATCTGAAGATTTTTGGCTTTGGATACATTGGGATCGGGTGCCAAAATAAGTGCCTTGTTCATTCTTGAGCCTTCCTGGAGACGTCAAACGAAATTGGCTAGGTTCTGGCACAATTGTGTTTGGACCTTATACCCCTCCCTGGAGTGTTAAGGAGATTCCACTACGCTATAATGCTCGACAGCTGCAGAAATAACTGCGTCAGAAGGTTTATGAGATATACGCAATTTCTCCAGTACTGAAATTCAAAGCTTCATCATTAAACCAATTTCGAATAGTTTCAATTGTCGGTCAATGAGAGAATTTAAGTGTGCAAGTAGTATGCAATGGATTATATACACCCCTCAACCTTATAAAAACAGCAACATCTCATGGGATTTTTTTCACTCTTTTTGGGTATCCGGTGGACCATAAAGAGGAGTAAATTATTTAGTTTTTCATGCAAGTGGCATTGTATTTATTAAAAAAAGTCGTTCAGCCGTCATAACCTTCGTTACTCTCGTCTCTTGGTAATGAGTGACATTGAACCGGAATGTCGTATGAAGTGCCTTATGACATGGGCTTCGCAGCTGAAACACTTCCTCTATCTCATTCCAACTACGAAAACATTTCTATCAGGAATGGTCGAGGTGTGTTTTTCAAATGTCAATCTCACACGAAACAATGCAGTACCAGTGTCGCTGGTGAAGTGTTGCGGTTTCATTTTTCTTGTATGTCAGGTCGCATACATATTGGGGCATACGAACTGGCAAATTACCCTTTGTGTACCAAAAGAAGCAGAGACATTAGAAGCTCCAGCAACGATAGAAGACGAGCTGGAAAGAGCTTCGAGGCGACGTCGAAATGACTGCTATCAAATTGCTTTTTGTTACCTTAAGGTGAGTGGAGTTGAATTTTCAATGAATTTCCTCCTATTTTGTGTTATAAAATTCTTGAAGGGCAGGGGGAACACTAAGGTGAACTTCCCGTCAGATAGATCAAGCCAAGGGAAAGGGTCCATACCTTACGATTTGCTACGACTACGGGCTACGGGCTCCTGTGGAGTATCTGAAGTTGGGTTTGGCAAAGAATGCGCCAACAATTATTAAAGGATGATTTTATTTGGCTTGCTGGATCACTACCTTGGTGGAGCAAGAAAATCGTGTGTCATTAGACAGATGGTCATTGGGAATTTTAGGACATGGCAAAGCGTCGGCAGTGTCGGGTGTTTTCTGAGTTGGATGATGCTCTTCTGTATGTGGCCAAAGTTTCGTTCGATGGCTTATGAGATCCACTTCATGTATATTACCAAGATAGCAGACTACACATTGCTCCAATGGACACAGGATATGCTCATTTTATTTCTGGTAGAACGCAATAGGATACAATTAACAACAGATTTTTTGAAGATATGTTAGGTTTTCAATATTTTTCTTATCTCAAGTGCATGTTTTTGACCGTGCTTTGTTAAATAATTCCTACCTGAAACATCTCCATAGTGTATTGATTCTAAGCCTGTTGTAAAACTAGCTTATACGGTTTCAAAATGTGACTAAACGTGACTTGCAAGTGAACTGGGTGGTATCGTTCTCATGGAAAGAACTCATTCTTCGTACCATATAAATACTTCAAATCTAACGATTCTCCAAGCAGCTTCGAGCATATAGTTTTCATTGAGCACATGATGCTGAGCACTCAAATTCGTCTTTGTCATAGAACTCTCACACAAATATATGATAGTTGTTTAGCTGTCGATTGTATTATTTTTATTAAGTTTGTATTCAGAATTGATATATAATCTCAAAAGATTTCTGCGCTGCGTACATTTCGCAGAAAGCGATCAGGGATTTCGCTGTTGATAAATTGGCCTTTCCTCATTGTTTTTGTTTTCTTTGCTAACTTACAGATCCTGTCAGTCCTAAATCTTGATAGATGTTTCCACTAATAACGCTCATTGTTATCTTCCCGTTGTATGTGTAACCTCAGCTCATTTAGAAATGAACATTCAAAGGGTAACCTTATGTATAAATATTATGTATTTTCTTGAATATGTTGTGGAAATGTTTTTTTTAGAAGTTATCTAAATCATGCAGATGTTTAAGCTGAGAGGCAGCAGTCGTGCTGAAGAATTTCGGCCTTCAGCTGTCACGCTGCAGAGATGTGCGTACACGGGGTGGATTAGATAGCATAATATTAAAACAACCCTATGGAATTGGATGGAACTGTGAGAGCATGATGCCAAATGTCTTACACTCATGCGCGACAAAACCTCATAATCATGTGGCCCACTTCGATCTGGAGTCAATCGCTATCGGCCTCTCGATACGAAGTGGTTGATAGCACAGGAAAAGTGGGAGTACAGTATTAACGAGTAGTGACCAGGGTGAATATCGGTCGAGGAAATCCTCGACAGGGGGGTCGTACCTGTCGGGCTGGTCCATGGGGGGGTCGTACCCTTGGGGGTCAGTAACAGCAGTGGTATCGTGGTGCAGATAGGTTGAGAGGGTATAGCGCAGCAGAAAATGAAAATATCTGAAAAAACATGATATTAAATTTTCTTTGCAGGTTCAGTCGCTCCATTCCTCCATTTCATGAGAAGGGCTCGTAATTGAAGGCAGTACAAAGAATGAAAGTGCATCCCCGCAACGAAGACTGCCACATGTGCGCAGCGCTGCAAAGGCACCTCCTCTGCCTATCACTCGCTCCTTCCCTTAATACCTCGCTGAGAATGACGCTGTTGTTAGGGACCCTGTCGGAAAATCGACAACCGTGAAGAGAAAGTGCTGGGCAAATGAAGTTGTTTTTGGGTTACAGGAATAGCACAACACACTATGTCTACTACAATACAGTTTCGTTCAGAAGGTCCCCACCATATAACAACCTTTCAATCGAATTCTGCAACTGTGAGTGGAGGAATGCATGGCTTATACCAATACGAATCGGATGATGACATTGCCCCTATTCTTATTGCTTGCGTTGAAAGATTTCGTTCTTGACACATTCCGAGCGTTGCCAACGAATCACACCTGCAATGGTGAAGGAGGGAGCGGGTTTCAGGTGGCCGGATCCGTCCTCGATAGATCCTCGACGCAATTATCTCTCCAACCAGAAGCTGTAGAAAAAGCGAAACAGACGGTTAAGAAGCGCAAACCTTCGCTTCCAAAAACTATCTTCTCTTTTACAGGACCTTACGACATTAGAGGAAGATTGCTCTTGAACTGGCAAAAAACTTTCGTGAAAATTTCCGCCTCCTCGACATTTACTCGACGAAATTTGGGAGACCCTATCCTTCTGCATCGAAGACTTTCAGAGCAATTTCAATACTTCTTGGAAACGCAAAATCCAGCTCTATCTAACCCTACCTCAAACTGCTTCAAAGGTTATGAAATGGAAGAATGCAACCTTTTCATCGAGGGTGTAGATTTCGACGGTTTTTTTCGGGATTTCAGCAAATCTGACCCAGTGACAATCGCGCCGCAGCTGCCGTTTGAAGCGGCCGTTGATTGATACACTCGGCTGTTTCGATATACTCAAGCAGGAATTAAGTTAAATCGCATCCCCGTGCCTTCAGTTTTTCTGTGCATTTATGAACGAACCTGACTTTGAGGTCACACAAAGTTAATGCCTCTTTCCTCGAGTCGTATTTCAGTAAATACACAAAAGGCGATGAAATACAAAAGGCATAGATGAGGCGTCAATAACATTATTTTGCAGGATTTTTTTGATTTATTTTGCAGGATTTATTTTGATTAATTAATTGAATTAATTTGCTCTATTATAGGGGTCGTACCTGGATCTCATTTCGGCGTGGGGGGGGGGGTCGTACTTCTGCGACCACGTACTCGACACGATTTTCACCCTGGTAGTGACTGTGGTATTTATCAGTGTTCTTCATTCCAGCAAGTGTGAGCGACAGTACTAAGGTGACTTCACACAGGACGAATCATCAGCATACTGGAAAAAGGAAGATGCGTTACTAGTGTAGCCCAGGAGTTTGGGTCTGCTCACAGCATTGCTTTACGTGCATGGGTTGCGAAGTTACAAAACCACTGCTGTCCGCAGAGAGGAGATGGGACACAATGAAAATAGCTGGTAATTGCTACGTTATGCATCGGGCTAGAATGGACCTACGTCACTCGCAGAGTGCAGTTGCAAACACATTTTTCTCAGGATTGTAAGGCACGAGTGGTCCCCACCCGATGAACAGTACCTGGTTTTATCTTGAAGCCAGCACATGGGCGAAAACATTTGCAAGGTGTTGAGACTTCTGAATGAACCAGCAATTAGTAGGATCGCGTGTTTTTATCTATCACGAGGAGCACCGAGACGACGAGACGAGACCATTGTCGCACACGATTGTTTTCATAGCCCATGCGGTATGGGGTGGACAGGCATAAAATTGCCAGTGTGTTTGGTCTCCACACTCGCGACGACGGTACACTTACTGGTCAAGGTCATTGTGGTGCTGTAGTCCTTCCTAATGTGCTTTTCTCAAGGGGTGCGTTCAACCTTAACTTCTCATGTGGAGGGCAATGTACAAGCGCATCGAACGCTAAGATGGAGACTTGAAACGAGAGGGCTTTGGCGATTGATCAAGCCTGGTGGCCTCCCACTCAAATCCTATCGAGCAGGCGTGGAATGCATTAGAGAGACTCCAACTTCTTTCTTCGCAGAACCTCGGGATTGTTGTAATTATAATGTACTCCTGCCAACGAAGTTGTTAGGTGGTAACCTTATTAGTGACCTGACGCACCGACGAGTTCGTCTTCCTCAAAAGCCTAAACATGACTCAAGGTTTGAGATATGTCCTCTAAATCGCCAAATGCCTCCTCTTCCAAGCGTTTCTGACGGAACGTTAGGGGAAACAATCGGAAACCCTGAACGAGGGAAATAAATTCACCCAGTCCACACCGCAAGAGCAGAACAGCGCCACTCCAGTTAGTTATGGTTACTAACTGAGACTTATTGTGCAGTCTTTATAAAGGCATACTGTAGACCAGCACGTCTCAGTGTTTACATCAGCAGCTCGCAATGTGGCGCAAACGGCAGGAAATCATTTGTGCAAGATTGGCATTCATAGCGCTTACTCATTTTTGGGATTCCGCGCGTGAATCCAGAATGCCTAAAGCGCTTTCCTGGAGAAACTCACTCTCGCATGCTAGGATTTTACGCTTTACATCAATGTCATCAATGTCACTCCCGTGATGCTCTTCAACTAAATGTTTGCCAAGCGAGGTTGTTACGTTGCTGCGCCTTTTTCCAGTAAGGTGCTCCTTGACGCGTATTGATAGAACCCTTCCAGTTTCCCCAATGTATGATGCGTTCCATACCTGACATTCAATCTGGTAGATCACGCCATTTTTGGCACGACTCCAACTGAACCGTTCGGACATGTAACGCAATGGTCTGATATGCACTCAGAGTATTTCGTACGAGCTGGCGTCTGATGTGGGTGACATCGATAACATATCCCTTGGAGCACGTTTGTGGGTCTCGGCTAGACTTTTCCCAATTGCACACGATGGCCCCTGAAACATGGGTGTCATATGCAATTTTTGAACACTCAGACTTGACGATCCTGTCTGTTATCTTTTATAGCCTCCTGAAGATCCACAAACTTGCTCCCGGGGATGCGCCTTGAGATACGAACGCGACCTCTTTTCTTACCACACTTATCTGCTTTTGTTCTTATCTCTAGATTGCTTTCAAAGGTCAGGTCACGGGTAGTTTGCTCTTATTTTGTTCTCTCCTGATTATCATTATTGTAGATGAATGAAAAATTTACAACCATCTTGGTCTCATTATTTATCTAAGGGGGCAGGAAAAGTCCATACGTGCAGTTGCTGATGAGGTTCAAAAGTTGAGTTTTCTATTTAATGGATTTTCCTGAGTAATGTGACCTATATCGCAGGATTCGACCACATCATAGAGTTCCATATTATAGGCGGACCCCTCACAGAGTTATATGGCAATATGGGGATTCCTCAAGAGATTTGAGCGCAGATCCACCGTGATATGTGCGCCTCGTCATAGACATGGTTTGTACAGTAGTGATCGTAAAGATTCTCTACACCTTTTTAGCCGGCAGCTTTTTTTCAGATCATCATGCCGAAATTATCGCGTAAATCAGTCCTTGCTACCGGAACAACAGCTCGTCTACAGCAACGGAAGTGGTGAATCGGCCAAGACAAGGGGTATTTCAGTGAGCTGTGCTACCATTAGGAGGCTCCGAAATCGCCTCGGTTTCAAGAAGTCAACCACAAATACTATGATGCAATAAGGGTTGAA